TAATGTGTCTTTCCTTTTTAAAAAAGATTAAAAAAAAACCCCCCCCCCCCCCCACAAATTAGTTAAAATCTTGGAATAATTCTGTTTTGTTTTTTTTGCACTTTTTATATTTAAAGAATACGAGTTTGAACCGTGAAAACATACTCCTGAAGAAGAACATTTGTTCGGTCATCAAGACGGCTAAAATGGAGATTGTGCGCAAGGATGAGGAAATTAGCAGACTCAGCAATAGGTAAAAACTCCAGCTCTGGTACTAAGATCAGCAAACAGATGTTTGATACTAAGCCTGGCTTGTGTCAGGATTGGATGGTTTTGTATAAAACTCACTTCCCTGTTTTTGTGTTGTCGTCATCACAGGTCTGGTCGAGGAAGTTATTTTCGTCGATCTCAAATGGAAAGTGGTCTGGCAAACACAAGGCACAGTTTAAACAATCCTACAAGTTCTGTTTTGGAATCACAAGGTGCTAGACAAGATAATGTTATGAGTGAAGTAAATCAGCACAAAGGTAGAAACTCTGTGTCGGATCCCTGTGCATATCCACCAACAACGTCAACTACAGCAACACAACCATTTGAGGTGCTCCAGAGATGCCCTAGAACTGATCTTGATAGTCCTCTGCAGTGTCAGAATAAATGTGCTGCTAAATCTGACAGTAAGACCCTCACTGTTCAACCACAGCAGGAGTCCAGACCAGTTCATCCTAACAGAACATCCACAGTGTTAGATGTCTCAAATGCTCCCAAAACAAGTGACTCTACACTGAAAGTTCCTGATACAACTACTGATTCTCAATTCAGTACCTTGAAAGACAATAAGAACAGTTCATCAAAACAGGCAGACAAGCTGGAAAAAACACAAAAATGCACAAGCCGGGACAAAGAGTGTAACTCGAAGGATAAGAATGTGTCACAAAAGGCTCAGAGAAGAGTGGGCAGCAAATTAGGAAGAACTGAAAAAGAGCTCATAAAAGACAATTTTGTGTCCAGTGAAAACAGGAATCAACAGCCTGAGGTTCCAGTCGTTCTTAAATGTTCAGAACAATCGAAAAGCCCTTCCTCGCAGTCACATAAAGCCTCACAATCTGTCTCTTCCCAGTTATCCAAAAATTCATTTAAGACAACAGCAGATGTTGAGACACAGAGTCAAGGGCACATGCATCATCAAAATCCAGACAGAACTAGCAAAGAAACAAAACACTCTGGCTTGAGCAGCACAACTTGTACTGTGGTGGATGAAGAAAGCCATTCCCAAAACCACAAAGGGAAGAAAAGAGTTGCAAGTAGCCATGAAAGGAAAGAGGAGAAAAGTTCCAGTGCAGAAAGGAGGAGCAGCAGAACTGAAAGAAGCAGAGACCACGAGCAAAAGAGGCCGAAGGAGAGTGACAGGAGTAAAAGAGATGAGGGTAACAGCAGCAGTAGTAGTAAAGAAAGAAGAAGCAACAGATCAGACCTTAGCAAAGAGTATGAGCGAAGGAATATATGGGAAACGGATAATAAATCTGAAGATAAAAGATCTAAGAAACAAGTTGATGCTTGTGGGCAAGATTTTACTTCTCCCAAATGGGTTTCTCAACGAAAAGATGCTTATAAGGAGAAATCATCAAGCAAAATCAATGAACCATCAACAAAAAGCAAAAGGTCTCACAGCCATGACAAAGCTAGAAAGATGGAGGATCTGAAATGCCCGGTCAAAAATGGAAATTCTGATAAGAGTTGTTTTGGAGACAAGGGTATATACAAGGACAGAGAAAGAAAAAGAGGTGGACATTTGGATCATAGGGTACATAAGCACAGAGAATCAAAAAATTATCTTACCAAAGATGACAGAAAGAAATCTCCTAAAAAGCACAATGTTGTCGGAAAAGGTCAAGATAGTAAGAATGAGCAGGACAAACACCTTGAATCTGAGTCTTCATCAGTGGTAGCTGTCAGCAGCAGTCCCTGCAGAACAGCTGAGGATAATAGTCCAGACAGAAAACTGAGTTTCATGGAAACACTGAATCTTACCCTATCGCCTGTTAAAAAGCAAAAGCAGTCTTCTGATCCAAAAGAAGCCAGTGGAGCAACATCTGAAGATGCCTCGCCTCATAACAGCAGATTATCTGATGCTGGGGAGGAATTCTTTGTCATTGATGAACTAAAGAACAGCCAGAACAGAGTTGAGGAAGTGGATGAGGTCCCTGTGCCCACAACTGCAGGTAAAAAAGATGACCTGACCAGTTCTTGCAAAGAGTCTGGACAAGTTGTTGATCTTTCCACCGCTATAGTCTCGGAGAAGCCCTCAGGTGAACAAACAGATATGGGTGTACAAGAAGAGAATGCCACGGAAAGTCAAGAGGCTGTGAACAAAGTGCCAGCCAGTGTTAAATGCTCCGAGGAGAAAAAGAACAAGATTTCAGATTCCATTGTGTTAGACAAAGATTCATTATCAAAATTAACCCTTACAAGAGAATCTCCAAATCATGTCTGTCATAACACCACCAAAGACTCTCCGGGAATCATAGATAATTCTGTTGTCTCTAATATTTTGCCTACTAAAACTTCAGAAGTGGTAGTTTCAGATAATATTCCTGATTCAATTGTTGAAGGTTATCAGCAACAAGATCCTATTATTGCTGTATCTGAGGACACTTCTCCGATGAAAATCCAAAGGAGTCCTCAGACCAAGTCTCAGGATTTACCACCAGCATCAAATGGGATATGTCAAGATAATGTGTCGTCCTCAGACAAGGCACAAAGTATTCCTGAGATTAATTCTTCTATGATTTCTGATAGTTCTGTCAACATGGAAGTGTCCTCTAGCACAGTTAGTGCAGATCTTGATGAGCCAAGAAAAGTTATTTGTGATTTTGAACAAGTGGATACTTCAAAACTGGACCATAAGGGAGCTGGGGAAGCAACTGATCATTTAAAAATGATTGAAACACCGCACTCATCTGAAAATCTGAAAATGTCTGAAAAATCCCATCAGAGTCCATCATGGGGTGAGAACAATGTGGCTCCAAATGATAGCACCACTGTCAGAGATGAGACCATGTCATCTTCGCAGCCTGGTTTCTCAGAGCCAGATTCCACAGAGAAAGAGGAACAGAACATAAAGTCATCAAACCCTGTTGTGTTTTGCCCTGATGAAGACTCCATGATGCTTACTCTTAGGAACATCAGAGTTATGCCAGAGCCTCTCAGCCCTCTTACAAGCCCAGTCCGTCAGGTGAAGAAAGTACAGCCTCCGCGTGCTGAGAAGCAACCACATGTCAAATGTCTTAACACAGGTAAGCGTTTCTTTTTTTTTTTTTTGAAAGTATGAAAGTAAATATTTAATATTGTAAGCCTCCTATAATATCCAGAATTGCATTATTTTTCTTAACAAAGCTGGAAAAAAATGCAAACTTGAAATACATGTTCGCATGACTTGACCCAACGGGTTTATATGTCTACAACTTGCTAATGTTAATCTCCCCCCCAGATCTCTCAACTGTAACCACTGGATGCAATAAGGATAAAGTAAAAATGGACATGAACAAGGAGAATAAGTCACCTGACTCTTCTGTCACCGCTTCCTCCTACAAAGGGACAAAAGATGCCCTCTCGGCTAGTGGAACTGAGGAAGATGAACTAGAGGATGGTGAGATAGTGAGTGAGAGTGAGGAAGAGGGACCTCTGTTTATCCAGACTCCTCCAAGAGAAAAGGACAAATCAACCTCCGGGACTGATTCAAGTCCAAAGCTATCTTCAGTTGGGAAAAGAGTGTCCCAAAAGAAACTTTGCATCCCTGCTAAATATTCAGAGCGAAGCAAGAGCTCTGAGTCGTCTTCTAATGACAGTCCCACCTCAAGTAAAAGACGCTTTAAAACTGTCAGCCCACCATTGAAAGCAGCAGTCTATACCATAGATGGATTTATGGGCATGTTAGGATCAATTCGAGCAGAGTTGAGGAAAAAGTACATGAAGCTTCAGAAAAATGTCTCTAAAACTGCCTTCTGCTGTATAGTGGATATGTCTCAGGCTTCTTTTATAGAATTCATTAATGCTGTTGATTTGGATAAATTGTGCTGCCAAGGTAATGACATCAAAGTTAGACTTAATAAAATTATTTCATCTATCATGAGCAAGGTCACCAAGAATGGCATCGTCAATCGTATCTTTGAGCAGAGAGCTGGAGACCTCAAGCAGAAGTTGTGGACATTTGTGGATGGGCAGTTTGACTTCTTGTTCAAGGAACTGAAGACAGCACTCAAAAGTGGACGTGAGCCTTCCAAGGATGCGTCATTGGATAATAAAAATGCAACTCCTAAAAGAAAAGAGATAGAAAGTGAGGTGGTGGAAAAAGAACCTTTTAACACATCTGGGCATCTTCACAGAACCAAGATGTCAAAAGTTGACACGGGAAGTTTTGTCAGAGAGGCCCCTCCAAATAATCTCCCTCGCAGGGGCCTTGGGAGCAGGGGTAAAAACATAAAAGCTGTCATGAATGAAGATGATCAGCCGGCAAATTTGGCAAGTGCAACATCTCATCAGCTTCCTCCTTTATCCTCTGAAAGGCCTGTCCACGAAGGTACCTCTGGATCTGAGACTAGAATCTCTTCCTATGTCCGACGTCTCTCACATAATGGATCGATTCAGGATAAGTCAGACTTTGAAATACTTACAGAGCAGCAAACAACAAGCTTAACCTTCAACCTGGTCTCTGACTCTCAAATGGGAGAGATATTCAAGTGTCTTTTGCAAGGGTCTGATTTGCTTGATTCCAGTGTTCCCATAGGCGACAATACAAGTTGGCCACTCAGCACACCTCGAAAAGAAGGACTTCCAGGGGAGAGTTTGATTGGGATTATGACCCCTAATAAGACAACCCCATCTAAGTTCCTCACATCCTGGCCTTCCATTTCCCCCTACAAGTTTGCTTCAAATAGCAAAATGCTGGTAGACCCAGCAATTCTTGATGAGAGCTGCTTGTTAGAAGTTCCCTCTAATTCTGAACCATGCCAGCTTTCTCTTCATTCAACTGTAATCCCGCAGAAATCATACTCTATCTTGGCGGAAGATCTAGCTGTGTCCCTTACCATTCCCTCACCACTAAAGTCAGATAGTCACTTGAGTTTCTTGCACCCTGGAACTGGACCGCCACTGTGTGCCCCAAACAGTGGCCTGAGTGCCCATTATAGTGAAGATGCTCTTCTTGACGGAGAAGATGCCACTGAGCAGGACATACACCTTTCTCTGGACACCGACAACTCCAGTTGTGGGTCGAGTCCCAGCAGGACATGGGAGGGCTCTGATCCACCCTGTTTCCAATTCCAACCCAATTTACAAATGCAGGCTGTGGTAATGGAGAGGTCAAATGATCATTTCATTGTGCGAATAAGACGGACATCATCTGGCCCAATTGAAAGCAATCAAAATGAAGGGAAAGCAGCACCCGAATTAGCTGAATGCCCAGAGACGATTCTTAAGCCTAATCTCACTCTGACCCATCAAGACTTGGGTTCCGCACCTGGAGAGATGTCGAACAAAATCCCAACTAAGGTAAACGAGTCATGTCACATTTCAGATAAAGCAATAGAAGCTCAACCATCAAGCCAAAAATCCTCATCTGGAGGTGTTTGTGATGACAACTCATCCCGCAACAATGCTGAGCCTGATTCCAAAGCATGTGCTATTGAGGAAAGTAGTACAACAGAGACTGAAACATTAGAGGTGGTTTCAGGAAAAGTAAAGAACGCCACACAGAGCTCAAGCGCACCCGAGTCTGAATCTGAGAGGGTGTCAAGGAAACGCAAGGAGCACAGATCAGCGACAAAGGCAAAGCGCCAAAAAGTAGAGAAATCTCAAGATAAACATTCTAAGTCCAGGCATAAGAAAAGGTCAAAATCCTCCAAAGAAAAAGACTCCAAAATTGTAGTACCCCAGGTGTCCCCTAGCAACCTGTCTGCTAAGAATGTAATCAGGAAGAAAGGGGAGGTAGTGGTGACGTGGACCAGGTGAGTTGATAGAATTAATACTAAAACAGGGGTGTACAAAAATATACATTAAGTCAAAGCAACCAATTAATAAGCTAATGTCTTTTGAAGGGATGAAGATCGGGACGTACTTGTTGAGCTTAAAATGAAAGGCACTTCACCCAAGACGTTTGCTGCTCTTTCAAAAAGGCTAAAGAAGTCAACAGAGCAGGTATGCTTCACTATTGTGTACTTATAAATATGAAGTAAGTTAAACAGCTTTGTTATAAATTATTGATTGATGTTTTTTGACAGATTGAGGAGCGATTCTCTCAACTGATGAAGCTGTTCAAGAAGAAAGAGAAAATGCAGAATTGATTGAATGACAAAAAGATTGAACTGACTTTATAATGGATGCTGATGCACTTATCAAAATCTCCATAGACTCCATAGGCAGAAATATAATACGCTGAATCTGAAAATCAGTGTATTATTTCTGTTGATGTTCATCTGTTTGAAAAAAGCACTTACAGTTTGCCAAAATATCTGCAGTAAATGGTATAATCCGTTTTAGAGGCTTTTTTTTAGCTAACATTCAGTGTTATCAGATTACCAAAATTTATAGTCAGAGCAGACACCAATTGGGCTACATTTTTATTACCTAGAGATATATTTGCAATGTGGTATGCTCTGAAATTGACCTTAATCCTTGTCAAGGACCTAATCAGACACAACAAAGTAGAGAAATTACGGTTCATAGTATTTTCAGTACATAAAGCCCTGTGCGATGCCATACAATTTACTTGTTTTGGCAAGTTGGGTGATTGCAAAAAGTAGTACAGTTACTGTTTTGTTGATGCTGACAATTTTTTATGACAAAGTTTTAGTGATGCTGACATCACTAACTTGTATTACAAGTTGACTTTTGCAGCATTTGCAATGCCTTTGAAACCTACCTCTGACCTCATGTTTTGATCACTTAATTTTCCCCTCCTTTTGTTTTGTGTATGAGGTTGGTGTTGGAATAGCATGGCTCTAAATGTGGAAATGGAAAGAATATTTGCTTGTTTATTTGTTTTGGTCCTCAATTGTCAGACTTTGAGTTTAAAATCTTTTTCATTAGTCATCCTGATAGATGCAGCTTGATATTTTCATATTAAGAGTAACATGTTTTTGTTGTTTTCTAGGTAATGAGTAAGGAAATTGTTCCCTTGTGTATATATTTGTAAAGTTTAATTGAACTGAAAGATTTTTATGTTTGAACTCTTTTTAAACAATTTTATTTTTCTCAAAGAGAGAAACCTAGATGTGGGAAAAATACATTGTATGTTGTTTGGAAATACATTTTGTAAATATTTGTAACTTCTGACAGACCTCTCAAACTTTTGAAATAAAGCTTATTTATTTAAATGTCATGTTTATTTTGAGATTTATATTTCAGTTTGATTTCTAAACTGCAGTCTTAAATGCATAATCTTCAATGATTTGTAGCTCTTATTTTGGATTAGTAATTCAAAATAACTTTTTTTTTATATCACAGAACCAAACAGTATCGGGAAATTTGTAAAATTATACTGATTTAGATATAAGGGCAAATAAATGATTTTTTTTATTTGAAGAATTTTTCAATTAATATTAACCAACTGGTGGTTGATGGTTTTAGTGGATGCTTGAAATCCCTAAATAACTTATCACCATAATATTTAGGCTTACTATTACAGTTTGTAGCATGGGGTATAAATGCAGTTACTGAACAATTCACAGCTCATTGACAATACTATGGTCCAGGCACAAGTGGCATATTTAGGTCACAGTCTGGCAGTTAACCTTACTTCACCTCTGAAATCCAGATCTAACTTCTGTCCACACTCATGTAACCTGTAAGACTTGAGTGTGCTAGTACAAAATATATTTATAAAAGTTCATTTAGTTTTTAGCCATTTCTAAAATTATATGTGATCATTTCTAGACTCAGATTACAGCTAAATTCATACAACTAAAATTCTTAAAATTCAAGTACATGAACACTAATATTTTATATATATAATTTTAAAAACATTATAAAAGGTAAAACACACAGGCCTACTGTAAGTAAATGAGCTGCAGCTGGCAGACTGTAATTAAATCTCAACATTGTGCCTAGTGAAGTGTAATTGGTTATGTGAAGCTGAACAGTATCCACTTGTTGAACTGCAGTTAATTACATATATCTTATTTCTAAGCGATTAACAGCTGGCTCACATTCCAGAAGGTAGTTTTCAGCTACCCTCTGGTTACATCACTCAGACTACAGAAAAGTAAAAATAGCCCTTCAAGCGTTTGACTATGAAATTGGACGTGTCTCATTGATCATCATGTCTCGCCTAAAAACAAAGGCTGTATTAATGGAATACTGACTTATTGCTTACTAAATACTGCACAATAGACACTGTACACTGCATATTATTTTTCAGAATTAGTGAATAAGTATATTATGCAACAATAAATGTTTCAATTTAAAATATGTAAAAATTTCTTCAATTTTGGTAGTCATTTGGTAGTTTGATAGTCAGTATAGCCAATTCTGAGATGCGTTCAGATTTTACAAGGATTCATTATTAATGACCTAAACTATCGATACTTTGGCATATTTCCACACAGGTCATGGGGTATTTTGGGATTGTTGCTAATATGTTCCCCCTGACCCGCCCTCAACAGTTGTGATGCAAGTTAGCCCCTCAGGGTACCGTCCAGCCTACAGATCGATAGCAGCATTGTATGAGTTCAATGCACAGAGAAACTGGACTTCATTCAACAAAGCGATGTTCACAGAAGAGTTCTAAATACTTCCACGAGGGGGAAAGGATACTGGAGTTGTATGATATTGTTTTTGTGTGATGGACTGATGGAGCAAGTGTTCTGTGAATAGTACAAAAATGTAAGTTTCCCTTTATAACTGGATGTAGTTAATCTAACATTTTTATGTGACCTTGTCTGTCTGTCTATCTATCTATCTATCTATCTATCTAGCTATCATTTCCTAGCGAGTTATAACCTTCACTCTTCCAGTTTTAGGCCATGCGAAAATGGGAGATTGGAACTTGCTAGGGAGCATCTTGGAGGAGGTTCACATTCACTCCACCATTGTGGGCAAAATCTGGCTCACCATTCTTTTCATTTTCCGTATGCTCGTGCTCGGGGTTGCCGCCGAAGACGTGTGGGACGATGAGCAAAGTGAGTTTGTGTGCAACACAGAGCAGCCTGGATGCAAGAACGTCTGCTATGACCAGGCGTTCCCCATATCCCTCATTCGATACTGGGTCTTACAGATTATTTTTGTCTCCTCACCTTCTTTGGTGTACATGGGACACGCACTATACCGGCTACGGGCACTGGAGAAAGAGCGCCACAAGAAAAAAGCTCAACTGAAGGTGGAGCTGGAGGAGACGGAGGCTTTGGAGGAGCACAAAAGGATTGAGAAGGAGCTTAGGAAGCTGGAAGAGCAGAAGAAAGTGAGGAAGGCTCCTCTGAGGGGTTCCTTGCTGCGCACATATGTGTTGCATATCATAACAAGGTCAGTAGTGGAAGTGGGATTCATAGTGGGGCAATACGTGCTCTACGGTATCGGACTATCACCGTTATACAAGTGCGAGCGTGACCCCTGTCCCAACAGCGTGGACTGTTTTGTTTCACGGCCAACGGAGAAGAACATCTTCATGATTTTCATGCTAGTCATTGCAGGGGTGTCCCTGTTCCTCAATCTTCTGGAGATATTCCACCTTGGTGTGAAACAGATCAAGCAGGCCATTTATGGATCCAAGTACATTGGAGATGAAGAAAGTATTTGCAGGTCAAAGAAAAACTCCATGGTCCAACAAGTATGCATCCTTACCAATTCCTCACCACAAAAACGCATGCATTTGACGCACACTTCCCTCGCGGTTGTGCCCGATGGACAGACAGCACCCATGCCTCTCTATATGCCAATGGCTGCTAACAATGACACTAATGGATCTGAGCAGCCCCTCAGGCAGAACCGTCTTCCTAGCCAGCCTGAATTTCAGGCTCTTCAACAGTTGGGAGCAACAGAACGACGACCCACTTTAGACAACTGTCCGCACTCCTGCAGCAGCGAGGAGTCTGGGCCCAAGGGATCTGGACCGCCCAAGAACACTGGTCAGCAGCCCAGAGCTTCACTCAGAGCCAGTAACATAGAGATACCAGCAGCATTACGGAAACAGAGCCGAGTCAGTCAATGTAAAGACTTCAGTGAGGAGAGCGATTCCCAGGAGAGCGGGAACTACCCCACTGCCAGGAAAGCCAGTTTCATGTCGCGAGGGCTTTCAGAAAGCTCATCCGAAAGTGCAGCCTCCAAAGGTGGATCGGACACAGCGGCCAACCGTATAGCTCAAGGGGAGAGTCCAGCTATGACACCCCCTCCTGCCACTGGTCGCAGAATGTCAATGGTGAGTAGAAAAACACACTACTGATTATTCACTTGTTGAGTTGTGATGAAACGAATACTGTTTCTTCCACTCAAGTGGGTTTCAAGTGTGAATACTACCTCGACAGCAGTTGAGCGCTATGAGCACTTTACGCTTTTAAAAACTCATGGTGTACAGTTTCTGGACTGATGGTGTCTTGGACACCACCACTGTCTAAAAAGTATTTTTTTTGGTAGTGCTTCAATACAGAAGAGTGTATATTAGCACCATTTGTTGCATGTTTTTGGGGTCTGATAGTGTTTGGACCCAGAAACTGTGACAAGTGATGTCAGACTTAATAGCCAGGTACTAGTTACGAACAGTGTCATCACTTTGTCAACAAAATCATAAACATTTATGATTTATGGTATTTTGAAAAATAAAAAAATGTTTGAAAAAAAGAAGAAAAGAAAAGTGCTCATCATAACAGTAATTAGACAACAAGGGCAGTATTCAAGTTACATCAAATGCCTGTTTAATTTTGCAAGGCACTTTTGTAAGGGACTACAACGCTATTTTCATCAAAAAAGAAAAGTTGTTTTAGCCAGAGTAAAATACATTATAATTAAAAATGACAAAAAACTGACAATCAATCAATCAATCAATAAACGCCAACCCAAGTGTGAAACATTTTGTTTTAATTTTGTGTGGGCAAAGTGCACCTATGTTAGGACAGAGTATAAATTTTAAATATTGATATCTAGGCTAATGATTCATTCAGTAAATATGAACAATTTCTCTCTCTTTTCAGAGCATGATTCTGGAACTGTCTTCAATCATGAAAAAGTGACATTTTGGAGTTTGAAGTATCAGCTCTCCTCTGAGCAGATAGCAATGGGATGGATATTGCGGTGTCTTCCTTGGCTTAATTTTGACTCCATAATTACTGCAAACATTATGATTACACATTAAAGTAATTTAACCGACTCTCAACAAACGCTTAAAATAAGAAGAAAGCATTTTTAACACACCTCTTTTCAGTGCTTGTAGCATTTCTGGTTTTCATTAACAGTGTTTAATAAGAACATGAATTGTGCTGTGACATTTTGCATATGAAATCTATGGCTAAGCTCAAAGAGCAATCAATGGATATCTAAAACGTAAGTCATTCTTTAAAAATGCAAATTGACTAATGACATTTCATTGACAATAATTAGGCATACTCTACAATTTATAGATAGTAGTGGATATCATCGGATATGTTTTTGAATCAGTCAAGATTTAAGGGCTTTCATTTTTTTCGTACTTTTCTTTAAAGTCTTGTAAAAACAAGACATTTTTAGCAAATGGCAATCCCTACTGTGAAATAAAGTACTTTTGTATTCACAGCGATATTATTATTAGAACTTTGGTTGTCTTTCTCCAAAATGTAATAATTCTTAATATTTATTAAACAAAATATCTCAAATCCGTCCACTGAAGCAGATGAGTTCAGAATGAGAATGTGCTCTACTGCCATTTGGTGGTGAACTTCATATTATACAAATGTTTGACATTTAACACTGTTTAAACCTCATGTGATTATAGTATGTTGACCTAATACATGTCTTTTTAACGCACTACTGATTAAAGTTAAGTTTCCACTAGTGGGAGCAACATAGATCAACTAACAGATTTCAGGAAATTGGCTCACCCAGGCCTCATTAACATATCAATATATGCTAAATTTAGATACAGTAAATCTCCTCACACAGCTAAGGCATATGTAATTTAATGATTGATGTGTTTTAATTCTTGAGCACTTGGACAAAACATGTGAGTGAAAACGTGAGTTTTTCTTGTCTCTCACAAATATAGCTACAATTATAATACATAAATATTCTCAGATATTAATTGGAAGTACTCACAAATATATAATTAACTTCAGAAAATGAATTGACATACTGGATGTTTTTTCCCTCCCCACAAAAGACTTAATGGAGGTAAGAAAATCAACATTTTGCAAATCACACATATGACCTATGTAAAATAAGAGAAACTTAAACCCCTAATTGCTTTATTGTTTGTGTGACCGAGTTGACTTAACTCGGGGGGTAAAAAAGAACTATAAAACTCACCAGTGTGTGCAGCCTTGTTGACATTGTTGCCAACTCTCGCGAGACAAATAAGCAACCGCAGCTTCAAAAACAAGCCCAATATTTTTTATTTATTATTAATATTTATTATCAATTATTTATTACCAATAAATGAGCTTGCAACATATTAAACTGAAACTACCCTTTTATCTGAAAAGCAAAAACATAAGTTATTTTACAAAAATCAGCAAACTGCATCAAAGCAGGAACAAAACCCATCTCCAATCTTATCTTTTCGTTTTCTAAATTCTTCTTATTAATCCAGTATTTTCAAGAAATATAAACAAAGCTTTGAGTCTATTTCTTTCCATCCCTTGTTCTCTAAGAATATCTTCAATTTTATTTTCTTCTCTCCCATTCCTTTCTCTTGTCCAAAATCTCCAGATCAATTTTTGCTTCAGGTATTATCCATATGGGCACTTCACTCCATACTGGAGAAATATTGCATACTATATCAGATATCTGGTATTTTTTTGCTAACTGGTTTATTTCTTCTTCTTTTTCTTGGCTTTTGCAACTTGTACTTATTGCATATCGCCACCTACTGTATAGGAGTGTGCAAAGGGTCTTGGGGGGACATTTTTTTTATAAATAAATAAATAAAATAAAACCCACAAAGGGTTATCTTTTGGTTTCTAAATTCTTCTTACTTAATCCAGTATTTTCAAGAAGTATAAACAAAGCTTTGAGTCTATTTCTTTCCATCCCTTGTTCTCTAATATCTTCAATTTTATTTTCTTCTTCCATTTCCTGCCATTTCTGCCTGTATTCATGGTATTTATTGCATCTAAACAAGACATGTTCTACATCTTCCTTGGTTTGACATCTTGTACATAATCCATTGCTCTTCCCTATTGCCTGTAATGTATCATTCAATACAGTATGACCTAATCTCAGCCTTGAGTATACTTCTTCTGGCCGTATTTATCCTGTTGACAGACCGCTGAAGAACTAACTACCACCGTTGCATGTGTGCTGGAATTAAACTTTCGACTCTTTATATGTGTCGGAAATAGAACTGTTTTTCTTCTTCTTCTTTTTTCTTGGCTTTTGCTACTTGTAATTATTGCATATCGCCACCTACTGTACAGGAGTGTGTAAAGAGACTTGACGGATACCTTACTTGGGGGGGAAACCAACCCAGTTTGATACCAAACCCCAACCCCACGAAGGGTTATCTTTTCGTTTCTAAATTCTTCTTATTATTCCAGTATTTTCAAGAAATATAAACAAAGCTTTGAGTCTATTTCTTTCCATCCCTTGTTCTCTAAGAATATCTTCAATTTTATTTTCTTCGTCCATTCGTGCCGTTTCTGCCTGTATTCATTGACTCTAAACAAGACATGTTCTACATCTTCTTTGGTTTGACTGTTGACATCTTGTACATAATCCATTACTCTTCCCTATTGTCTGCAATGTATCATTCAATCTAGTATGACCTAATCTCAGCCTTGAGTACTACTTCTTCTCGCCTGTTTGCCATATTTATCCTTTTTCCTCCTACTTTTGCTTGGTTTATATGATAATGTTTAGCTTTAGACTCAGACACCCATTCTTTTTGCCATATTTGCATTATTTTATATTTAATCTTGGCATTAATATCTTCTTTTCCCATTGAAATATTTTTCAGGAAATTGGCTCACCCAGGCCTCATTAACATATCAATATATGCTAAATTTAGATACAGTAAATCTCCTCACACAGCTAAGGCATATGTAATTTAATGATTGATGTGTTTTAATTCTTGAGCACTTGGACAAAACATGTGAGTGAAAACGTGAGTTTTTCTTGTCTCTCACAAATATAGCTACAATTATAATACATAAATATTCTCAGATATTAATTGGAAGTACTCACAAATATATAATTAACTTCAGAAAATGAATTGACATACTGGATGTTTTTTCCCTCCCCACAAAAGACTTAATGGAGGTAAGAAAATCAACATTTTGCAAATCACACATATGACCTATGTAAAATAAGAGAAACTTAAACCCCTAATTGCTTTATTGTTTGTGTGACCGAGTTGACTTAACTCGGGGGGTAAAAAAGAACTATAAAACTCACCAGTGTGTGCAGCCTTGTTGACATTGTTGCCAACTCTCGCGAGACAAATAAGCAACCGCAGCTTCAAAAACAAGCCCAATATTTTTTATTTATTATTAATATTTATTATCAATTATTTATTACCAATAAATGAGCTTGCAACATATTAAACTGAAACTACCCTTTTATCTGAAAAGCAAAAACATAAGTTATTTTACAAAAATCAGCAAACTGCATCAAAGCAGGAACAAAACCCATCTCCAATCTTATCTTTTCGTTTTCTAAATTCTTCTTATTAATCCAGTATTTTCAAGAAATATAAACAAAGCTTTGAGTCTATTTCTTTCCATCCCTTGTTCTCTAAGAATATCTTCAATTTTATTTTCTTCTTCCATTTCCTGCCATTTCTGCCTGTATTCATGGTATTTATTGCATCTAAACAAGACATGTTCTACATCTTCCTTGGTTTGACATCTTGTACATAATCCATTGCTCTTCCCTATTGCCTGTAATGTATCATTCAATACAGTATGACCTAATCTCAGCCTTGAGTATACTTCTTCTGGCCGTATTTATCCTTTTCCTCCTACTTTTGCTTGGTTTATATGATAATGTTTAGCTTTAGACTCAGACACCCATTCTTTTTGCCATATTTGCATTATTTTATATTTAATCTTGGCATTAATATCTTCTTTTCCCATTGAAATATTAATTTCTACTTGCTCTTTTTCCAATGCTTCTTTTGCTATCTTATCAGCTTTTTCATTATCTTTGATACCAATATGTGCTGGAACCCAACAAAACTGAACTTCTAGATTTCTAATATTTAATAGTATATGTTTCAATGATGAAATTGTCTCTAACTGAAATACTGCTTTCTAAACTGCGTAAGGCTTCCACTGAGTCTGTACATATGACTGATTTAATTGGTTTATTTTCTTCTATCCATCTTAAGGCTGTAATTATCCCAGACATCTAAACTGTAAAAACAGAAAGATGATTATTTAATCTATAACCCAATTTTTTTGTTAAATTCTGGAATATAAATTCCTATGCCACAATGACCATTTTTGTTTTTTGACCCATCTGTAAATATTTTAAGATATCCGTAATATAATGAAGACAAATATATTTGGCCATACTTTGCAAAACTTTGATCATCTTTGTATTCTCTTTTCTCTTTTAGTAATTCTGTATTGATGTCTGAAATAGGGAGCATTCAGGGAGGAACTTCACTTAAAGCTACTGCAGGGCTAAACACAAATTTCTTTAATTCCAAATTGTTCTGCTGGATTATTTATATTCCAACCAAAACCTCAAAGGGGAGCTGTAACATAGCAACACATTTATAGCCAACTAAAATATTGGCTATTTGAACCAAATCTACTCTTAGTATTAGTATAGGCCTACTTGTTATTTTTTTTACAGCCCATGATAATTAATACATTACAAAAACATTGTAAAAATGAAAAATTAGGCTACCTTATAAAGGACAAAAGTCATCCCACTCCTCTACATCTACTACTATCATCGCTTGGATTACAGTGTCACGCGCCTTCTTTTTGAACCTGATTTTTCTTCAGTCCCTTCATTTGACTTTGATTTTGCCTGATTTATTTTCATAAATATCTGATGGTGTTGAATACAATTGTCAAATCTTATTGTGAAATTCGAGTTAACCTTTAATGTGGAAATATGTGTTGCCTTCTTGAGCATCAGTAAATGTTTCCACCTTTTGTAATAGCTGTGTATGAGTCCCTCAATTACCCTCAGTGTGAAAAGATGGATCTCAAAATCATCCAGTCAATACTGTTGGAAAGGGTTCATATATGCAGAAGATGCTGGAAAACCAAAGAATGTGCAGGAGCTGGAGGATTTTTCTGAAGAACAGCAGGCAGCTGAACTGTTCAGGACCAACAAGGGACTCATGAACAACAAAACAGAAAGACAGTCATGGATCATCCAGGAAACGACACACAGTATTCAATTCAAGGGTATGTAAACTTTTGAATGTGGTCATTTTTTAAAATAAATTTAGTTATTTTGTCTTGTGGAGAATATATAAACATCTGTTATGTGGAATAGCTTATTCAGGACAGTATTAAATAAACAATAACATGCAATTTTCATGATCCCTTATAGTTAAAATTGTTAACATATTTGCATATTCTGTAACGGTAATGTAACCTGCATAACTGTATATATATATATATATATATATATATATATATACATACATATATATATATATACACACACACACACACAAAAGAAGAACTTATAAATAGAAAAGTGGTTCTAAATGCACTTATTGAACAATGAGTGGGGAATCAAGCAACACAACTTACATGATATGTTTCTTTATTTCATAAACAGAAATGGTGTCTAGACAAAATCTGTCATTTATATAACACTAGCAATTGAAATGCATGAAAATGAGTCCTGCACAATACCGTATGTACAATGGTTTTTAAGTCATTAAATTCATTAGGGTCATGTAGCATTTCAAAATGAAAAAAAGGAAAAACTCTTAGTACAGAATAAGCAAAGAAACAGCTACCTCAAATCGACAATATTAACACAAAACAGTCTTCTAGAAAAAATGCGATAAAGAGTCAGAAAGAGAGATAGAGGAAAAACAACTCGTGTGACTACAAGCCAAAGAGCTATTCCATTAAAAATGATGCACCAAAATCTACCAATACAATAATCCATATAATCTGTGTAAAAAGCATGTAGAAAAAACACCTGATGCAGTTTGCTGATACAGTCTTTGACCAGTAATGAGAGGTATGAAGGATTTCACAGGTAGATAAGTGAGAGAGAGAGAGAGAGAGAGAGAGAGAGAGAGAGAAAGAGAGTCCGCTCTGCTAGCCGAAACATGGGGGCTCACAGCCCCTGCATACACACTTCACTTGAATGTGAACTATGGCCTCTGGAAGTTCTAAGGCAAAGTTGGAGGTGCACTTTGTATTCATGGTACACTGGAGCATCCCCGTTGGGCAAAAAGACAACTTGAGGAAAAGGAGCATAGTTATCAAACGGCCATTTCTCTGTTCACTTGTAAAAACGTACAAAACAAAAGACAGAATGCTAAACCTATCCATTCGAACGAGCCTCACGATTTCTATGTACATGGCAAAATTCTCATAAAACACGACACCTTTTTGTAAACATTTTGCCTTTTTCTTATGCCGTTATCAGTCCGAATACTAAATGTTGTATAAAGTTAAGCAAATTGTGAAAAAGGCATGTTTTTGAGCAACCCTTTGGAACGCCAGTGTTCATATTTCAGAGGAGCAGCACGAACGAAACAAACCGACCAAATTATTCAAACAAATGACATTAAATGGGAGCTTACATAGATGAAGACATGTAGGGTGTTTTCTTGTACATTATTGGTTCTCAATACATTTACGAAGCTTAAAATACACGTCTTTTGAACGCAATTGCAAATGGAAAGCTTAAACGATTAGCTGTAGCAGCCAATTGACAACCAAAAATGAATTGCTGGATTTTATTTTGGAGACATTTCATAGCCCTTGTTGGGGTTTCATCCAAAATAATTGTGCAAATCTAGATGGTTTTCTCTACGAATCAATTATTCTTAGCTTAACTCTCTTTAAAGAAAATTCTTAGAAACTATATATAAAAAAAAATAAAATAAAAAAAAATCATGCTACCCACCCATTAGCTTTATAAGAAGACACAAAAACGCAAGACACAAAAATACGTGAAGAACGAAAGCTGAGCTCACCAGCTATCATCAAAAATGTCTGAAAACCAAAAAAAAAAAAAAAACCTTGGCACGCACCCTGAGACAAGATACAAGAGCAACCATGAGTCCGATACGAAAATAAAACCTCTGTAAAACAACAAAAACTAGCAGAAGTGTTGTTGAGAGGAGAGCTAATAAGCTTATTTAACCTGTGAGGCTTTCTGTGACCAGGACGAACCCTTGAAGTCACTGTGGATGCAAACATGATGCAGCTTTTAGTAACAGAGGTCAGAATTCCAATCCGTGTTCTCCCAGACTCCCGGTTTCTTCCACATCTGCATCAAAACATCCCCAGGCTCTTAAGGCCAAGTGTGCAAGCGTGAGGAGTCAGCCGTATCACAGACGGCACAGAAATAAACAAGAACACAACAAACACACTGCTATGCGAGGAACATAAATAAAAGCAAATTTGGGAAAATGTTTTTGGATCGCCTTGATGCAGGTGTGACCTTTCGTTTTTTTTCTCTCTCCAGAAATGTCAAAATTTTGGACATAGATTCTCAAGTGTACGATAGTGTGCTTGTCAAGTGGAAGTTCACGCTTTCCACGCTTCACTATTTATACAACATGAAATAAGAAAAACGCATCATTATAGGGATGATTTGCATATGTGTGCACAAATGTCCACTTGGACCCATAAATCTTTAGTTCTAGTCTTGTACCTGATTACAATTTAGAAATGGCAAATACTGTTTCAATTTCTTTAGAAAAAAGAGAAAGAGAGAAAGAGAAAAAGATCCACAATGAAAACAACAGCACAACTATTCATCACAACACCTCTAGATTCTACATCCCAGGAGAGACACTCCACCCAGTGTGACTTGTTTGTGTGTGTGTGTGTGTGTGCTTGCATACCAGAGGGAGAGGGGATGTATTACAACTTGAAACGCATCTGAATATTTATCAATCAGACTGGCAAATACACAAGCACGCATACATAGAGCTCTAGGGGTCAACGGTCATTCAAATAATATAGAACTATGTCAAATGAGAGGTATCCCAACTGTTGGGAGATCCAATTTTTAAAGAAAAGGCCTGAGGCCTACATTTTGAGGCAAAGAAACTCTAAACAAACTATATAAAACAAACAGGCAGCATGCAATCCCATTAGTATGTGTCTAACAAATGTACAATAAAGGGACATATAGGACGACTTTAAAGAATGGGCTTATTCCACCCATCTCAGATCAGATTTTCGATGCTTTTTAAGATTTTAGTGTCTTCCATAAATATGCAGTTTGAACACTCCCTTATTTTTTTTCATTTAAATGAACCTGAAAACATTCTTTATAAGATACCAAGTCATTAAAGATCATCTGCCTGAAAAGACACTATTAAGTGTCCACGTTAAGTGCTTCAATTTCAGACTTTTTAGGGTCCTGAAAAAGAAATCTACCCTTTCTGAAGTGCTAAACGATCAAAGAGTGCTGAGGGAAGGAAAAAAGCCAAGGGCAAGGCCCTTTAATTGATTCAACATCATTTCCTGTTCCTGTCAGAGTGGTAAAATGGGCCAGAACTGAAAGGGTGTGGGATCGTGACGACGTTTGTTTTCGATAACACTGTTCGGAGGTGTCCGTGAACACTGTAAATACTGATAAGAAATAAGGTTTCCTCAGAGAGCACTTTTTCACATTTAAAGGAGAACAGCTCACCATTATGCACACCATTTACAGCCAAATTACATGCAAGGGGCTCTATGCGCTGCACTGGGGGGGGGTTCGTATGCGAGCGTGTGTGTGCATGCGTGAGTGTAAGAATGCTAGTTTCCTGAGTTTAAGCACACCCATCGTCATGGGGAATTCATTTGAGACAGGAAACAGCAACAATTTTCCCTTCGTGACAAAAAGGTGCTTGATAAAACCCCAGAGAAAAGAAAGCAAAGAAAAATGAAAAAGCCATCTAAAGTTCTACCTGTACAATATTACCGAAACCGTCTCCATGCGCCGCACTATTTACAATAAGCTTTCTGCCGAGCAAGCACTTCTCGAAAACATCCAATGGTACAGTATTGCTGACGCAAAAGGTGGGCGAAACTACGATGCGAATCATTCGTCTTTCTGTCGTAATTTCTTTCATATCAGTGCTGTGGAAGGCAAAGGAGGAATGTTTTAGATACCACCATCTGTACACATTAAGTGTTGCGGTACACAGACACTACAAACGTATGATGCAGAAGACATTTTTGCATATGGACATTTACAGTCTAGCTGCTGTAGAAAAAACAAATCTGTATTATTTTTTTTCATGAGTTTTACTGAACATTCAGAATATTTCCTGAGTTTGAATTTACTGTGACAAGGGCCACAAAGAGAAAGAGAAGAGAGAAGGAGAGGTAGAGATTTAGAGGTAGAGGGCAGGAATAGTGAACGTGGGTGGGGTGGGGAGAGAGACAGATAGAGAGAGACAGAGAGAGAGATAGAGAGAGAGAGAGAGCAAAAAGCTGCTGCTAGGTCCGTAGAGGTCTGAATTTGAGATGTGGTCAGAGCCCATCCCATCTGAATGGACTGTAATTGGAAACAGACAGTGTTGCCACTGTCATGGAAAGGTGTAGCACCATCGTGAAGTTCTGTGAGAAGGTCTCAGCCACTCTGCCATGGCTGAATGAGAGAGAACCTGGAGAACAGTATTGCTGCTGTTAAGACAACTGTAGTGTCAACCTTTGTTTAAAAAAAGACATAAATATATATATAAAAAAAAATCAAAAACACTGGCAGAGGCTGGCCATCTCAACAGCCCTCGATTTTTGAGGGTTTGTCAGAAGACATAACTAAATTAAATAATAAAAAAAACATCGTAAAACAAATCAACACAGAGAAACCACCGTCATTAGGTACAGTCCTTGCTGTTGGGCTGTTCGTCGGTTGTACATTTATCTGTCATCTCCTGACAGAAGTCTACGGTCACCGTCTGATTGGACTGTTCCAGGTAGGCGGAGCCAGGTTCTTGCTCCTCCCTGTCGTTGCTTGCGTCTTCGGACCCGTTTCCGGTCTTCCACTGGGCCGGTCGCGGTTGACCGTCTTTATATATATATATATATGTATATATATATATATATATATATATATATACATACACAGTATATACTGTATGTGTGTGTTTGTATGTGTGTGTGTGTGTGTGTGAAAAACAGTTTGACAAAAACAGTTTGTACAATGTAGGAAAGTTATTTTAATTTGTAATAGTATTTCACAATATTGCTGTTTTACTGTATTTTTAATCAAATAATGCATCCTTTGACAAGCATAATAGACATTAAAAAATCTTACTGACCACAAGCTTTTGAACGGTACATTAATAATGTTGTAATTTTTTTTTATTTAAAATGCACTGAAATATTTAATTATATTTGTAATGAACATAAATATAGTCACTAGTCAAATAATAGAAATTCCCATGACTTTTAAAGATTTTACTAAAATTACTTTTCCAAGCCTTAAAAATCACCTTCAAAAATTCCCTGATATTTACATATTCACAGTTTTTTAATTGTAGGGACCCTGTACAGTAAAATAAACACTTATTGAGCATAATCATATTATGTATGTTTTCATTTAACATTATTTATGTCTTTTAAGCCTGATGCCCACAATGAGGGGATTTCATTGTTTACTATTCTTGCAGGAACATTTTTTGTCCCCACAGCATAGTCAAAACCTGCTCCACACGCATGCATACACACTTTGTTATGAATGTACGGTGATCTATAGGGACCAGCTGAGTTATGTAGGTCACCCTGCAACACTAACACTGTCTTCCCGCTCTCAATCTCCATTGAGATCTACACACTTCACACATCTCCATTCTTCATAAATTCATTCATGCTACAACTTCATTTCAGTTGAGCTTTAATATAGCTGTCAAACTCTGACCATAAGAGGATGGAAGAGCAGGAGGAGGAAAAGAAGAAGAGCAGAGGCATTTCTCCTGCTGCTGTCTGCGAGATTATATAGAGGATGCAGCACATGTGGCATCAAAGCGCAGGCTGTCAGGCTTCATACACATACACCGCATCACACAAAGACAGTCGGCTCCGCCTTCATCATGGAAACAGCATGGGACCGGCTCTGTGATTGACAGGTAGCGGTGTTGCCATGGCAACGTGACAGCCTACGAGATAAGGTCCCCTGCCATTTGTGGTGATTGATAACAACCTGAAGGCCGATGTGTAAAATAAAGATGTTGTGTCACATACAGCAGGACAGAGACAGCGAGGTGTTTGTGTGCTTACCAGTTTATGTATTTCACACTCAAGGTTCAGGATGCAGTCAAGTTTCCTCTTGCGGCAGCGCTGGGCCGCGATGCGGTTCTTACTGCGTCTGCGCATGTCGTGGATAAATTCCAGCTGCTCTGAGGTCAGCTTGTGCATTTTCACCATCATTTGGAAGTCGTTGCGTGGAAGATTTGTGATTTGATCGACTGGGAACGGAAGCTTGACCTGTAAAGACATACATGAGCAAAGTGTTATTCTGTGACCTTTTTGCTCTTCTTCCTGAAAGCATTTCCACATCAGAGCTCAACTGATTGACAGCTGGTGGCAGAACAAGGGAACTTGCAATGTATTTCATCACCACTAGATGGAGGCAGAACACAGTTCTTCACATGTTTCTCAAGAGTTCTAACATCACAAGCTTACAACATCTACCAGCATCACTTATTAACAAAGAGGTCAAAAGAGCAAGAAAGACAGACAGGAACAAAAACTGAGAACGAAGAGTGAGAAAGACAGGGACAAGAAAGCATCTTTCTGTCAGAGAAATTAGATAAAATGCTCAGCTACTTGTGTCGTTTCTTCCTCTGTTTCACATTCCTGTCAGGTGATTACCAGAGGGCATGAGTATGCAAATAACAAGTGTTAACGAGCTAAGCTGTCAGTGGATTCTGAACATATCGCCGCTTACATACACACACTCAGCGGAGTAGGAACTCGTGTCTCCTTCATGTACGATGAGTGTTTGGCAGTATAAAGCATCATTTGACTTCTCTCCATCATGGTCTGGAGGGCTTTCTGAGGGCATGTCATACTTCGACACTCTGCTGTTGTCAGAGTGAGCTATCACAAGGGATAAATGAAGGAATGAGTGTCATGAGGAGAGGAAAATTCAGGTTAACAAAGTGAGAGGGAGCAAGAACCAGTAGGTAAATCTGGTGATATACAACATTTTTGAGAGAGATCGCCTTTGTCTTTGTACCTGCTTAACACTATGTTTCTATTGACTTCTGTCTGTACGATTTTAAAAGTTTGGGGGTTGGTAAGACTTTTTTAATATTTTAAAAAGTCACCAAGTCTGCATTTATCTGATCAAAAATCAAGTAAAACAGACATATTGTGAAATATTATTAAAATTTTAAATGTGATTTATTCTTGTGATGGCGAAGCTGAATTTATTTCAGTCATTACTCCAGTCTTCAGTGTCACATGATCCTTCAGAAATAATTCTAATATGCTGATTTGGTGCTCAAGAATAATTTCTTATTATTATCAATTATAAAATAAGTTTTGTACTTTTTGTGGCTTTTTTCAGAATTCTGTGATTAATAGAAAGTTTAAAAGAACAGCATTTATTTGAAATGGAAATCTTTTACTGTCACTTTTGATCAATGTAATGCATTCTTGCTGAATAAATGTATAGTTTTTATTATTTATTTTAAATACCATATGGAACGATGGTGCATAATTGAAAATTATACAATATATGGGTAACCTTTTCAATTATCAGTTGACATGAAAGTTTTTTTTTACATCTACTGGTATTGGCCAATTTGAGATTTTCAGATGTGTTTATGCTCATTTCCCCTATATTTGCCTTTAAAATTACTCTAATGCACGCTTAATATTTAAAATGAATAATTCATGTTTAAAACACTTTTAATGTATATCTCAAAATGTATATATACCGGTATATATATATATATATCTTCATACTGCACATCAAATGTGTAAATTCACTTGATGCATTTAAATCGGCTAATTTTAATTTTGGGATTTTATTTTTAATTTATTCCACAAAAGAAAATTACAGAATTTTAATATCGGCTATTTTTCGGTTATTGGCCATAATATGAAAATAATCTCACATAAACTAGAGTTGTTAATGAATGAGGCAACCATAGTGTAACCAGTATACTGACTATAGTACTGCCCTACTTAAAAACTCACATGGGCTTTGTGTGATTATGACCCCATAAACCTGAACCACAGCGGTGCAGCTACTCTTCCATGTGAAGTGGACCGCTCTGCTGGGAAGCCCACGGTGACTCTGGTTGAGACTGAGAGAAGATGAAAGTGTAGATCTAGCTCAGTCTGGCACAGAGCAGCAGGGGGCCCGGAGCACTGGCAGGTCGGCCCGTTCTGTCTCTACGGCATCATTAATAAATGATGGACAGACCTTTTTCTACTCTCACAGCTCAGCTGACATTGAGAATTGCTCTGCATACAGGATCAGTGTGATTTTTGTGTTGTCTTAATGATCTGATTTTTTTAGATGGAGAGAAATGTGTTTTTACACGGTCCAAGGAGACGCTTTCTTTCTATGACCTTCTCATGTGTCCTTCCCCTCTCTGGTATATCGGTTTGAGGGGTGTGTGTGTGTGTGTGTGTGTGTGTGTGGCAGTAGCGTAAGAGTGATGTCTATATTTAGAGTCTTACCACCAGAACCAGTTTAGAAAGCTGGCAGAGATGACAGAACACACACCAGCGGCACTTATAAATTCAAACGTGATCCTGATTCTGTCTCTCTCGCTTCTCTTGTCCCTTTACTCTTTCTATAGGTCATTACTCTTGAAATGGGTCTGCTGTGAAAAGTAGGACTCATCTGTTACTGGGAGCAAAGTGGCCCCACTCTTTTTGTCCCTTCCTTCCTTTCTCTTAGTATGGACATCTGCAGAAGGGAATTGTGGGAAGGCGATGAACAAAAGAGATGACTGGAATGAGAGAGGCCAAATGCCTGAGGTCACACACAAGATATTTTAGCAATATTATCAGCACACCGTCTCTATGATGAGCTCTTAATTTCCTGTCTAATGTGAGTAAAAACTGTGGAAATGCATTTTAATGTGCAAATAACAAGCGAAGTTAGCCGTCTGGTCAGTTAAAATGCCTTTAGAGGTAATTAGATCATCTATTTGCTAAATATCATTACTGTCCTTCAGACATTCCCAAAATCGTTACTGTGCTGCTATGCATCTCTTTGTTTCACATGTCTTGGTAATGAGACGCCATGTGACACAGATAAGAAAACAGTCTGAAACACCCCCTAAGATATTCCTCTTTTTTTAACCTTCCCTCCTTTCTTCTCTTGTTTTTCTTCTCTCAGCCCTGTTGCTATTACTGGAACTCTCCACAGGGGCTGAGTAATGGGGGAAAGCTATCCATGAACACACACACACGTGCATGCATCCCCCCTCTCAAAGACACAGGACAGACACACATGCACACACTCACTCTGTCTAATGGAGTGATGGGCCTGTCTGTGGTCACCATGGGGCTTCCTCCCCATCAGGACCAAAGCGTCTACTTGTGCGCATGTGTATGCCTAAAATAAATGGCCTGTATGAATGCCTGTCTAGGTCAGTGGTAAATTCCTAATGTAACACATCTGGAGTAAAAAGCACCATCTTGTAGGAATGAAATTCTTTTCTCTTAGACGGCAATCAGTTTAAATGAAGAGCTAATAGAGACTTAAATCTCCAGCTTCTCAAATTCTTCTCCTGAGAAACAGACCCTAGTAATCTCAGTCAGTTTCAGAGGAGAGCTCAACAGTGTCTTAAACTGTACTTGGATTTGCCAAAATATCAATTAAATGCCAGAAATTTCAATGTGACCACAAGTTTCCCATTCTAAAATATTCCAAAACCAAATGATCTGAGTTGTATAGCTTGTGTAAAAACATATAGCTCTTATATACTTTTACTATAAATTAAAAACTGTACCTTTTTTAGATTTAACTTTTGCTAATACAGAATTATTGGAAATGATTACTATTTAAAATAACTGTTTTATATTTAAATATAATTTAAAATGTAATTTATTCCTGTGTTGGCAAAGCTGAATATTTAGCAGTCCATACTCCAGTCTTCAGTGTCACACAATTTTTCTTGCTGATGCCGATTTCTTAGTATTATCAATGATGGAATAAGTTGCTGCTTAATAATTTTGTAGAAACTGATTTTTTTTTTCAGGATTATTTTGTGAATAGAAAGTTCAAAAGGACAGCATTGTGTCCAAAATGGCTAAATAGCAGACAGTTATTTGACTGATATATCAATCTAGTACTAAATGAACTAAAACTGAAAAAAGAAGCAGAAATTTCTCATGGTAATGTTTTAAATCTACACCTTTGATCATGTTTACTAAAAAAAGTTGACTATAAATCATTATTCCAACATAAACTGCAGCGATTTACACTCCGTTTTTTTAAATATCTAAGCAAGTTTCACATTTAACCGAGTTTTAGTTTGACTCTAGACATCCATTCAGTAAACAGAAACATGTAATATCCGATTCTACTTGAACAAACAAACAGTGAGCTTTCGTAATATTTCAGTTTTTCACCTTGAGCATATTTTAATCGTGCGGTTTTACAGTTCACCAATGCAACATCTGACGAATAATTCGTAGACCACAATCGGCTCATATTGAGAGAGCGGCTTGGCTTTAAAGACGGAATGAGAGGAACAGAAATGGTTCTGACTTTACTCCTCACTTCCTGCGGTGCATGTAGCTAAAGGGTTAATGCTTCTTGCACCTTGATTTTGAAGAATGAGAATGAAGAAGTGAGAGTGAGATTTTCGTCTGTGGGCTTTTCTGATCACACCCACTCACTTCGAGATCAATACTTCACCCAGTGTAACCGAATGACTAAAGCATAAAGAAAATGTTGGAGAAATCTTCTCAAAGATCTCAAGATATGATTACGGCCCTCAGTAGGGCTTTTTTTTTTTTTTTTTTTTTACCTCAGGACCTTTTTTTGCCCCCTCTCCTGAAATTTCTGTTGTCAATCTACAGTGAAATCTTCAGGTAGCTGTTTAGGAGTGAGTTGCCCTTAAAAGCAGTTAAGACTTCACTCCTTCAGTATCTTCTTGGTGTCAATTGAACCTCAAAAAAAATATATTATTGTGTGTGAAACAGGTTCAAGTAAGGCCAACTCAAATGATATGGGAATACAGCTGCTCTTGGACCTCAGCTCTTCCGGTTTGAATAGGTGCTGATCGCAGAGGGTAAGTGATACTGTCTATGACTCATGAAGGAGAGAGAAAAGTTCAAAGACCTGGTTTAACTCCAGTATCTAGACTAGCACTATGATTAGCCTACAGTTTAACAACTTCCTTCCTCCCTTGAATTCATTGTTTGGAGCAGCAGGCTGAAGCTATTTTTGTGTTTCTCTCTTTGTGTGCAGATCCTCCTCTCTCTGTCATGCTCTTTCTCTCACCTGCCATTTGCTGTAAAACCACAGAAAGGAACCACAGAGTCTCTTCCCTCAAAATTCTGTTTATATTGTGTTTATATTGTCATATCTCTAGGGGAGAGAGCAAGTAAAAAAGAAAGAGAGAGACAGAAAGATGGGAGTTTGTTTATCTATAAGCAAGTTTTTTTTAAATAAGTTTTTGGTAAGATATTAAGTAGCATAATTGTTTTCAACATTGATAATAAGAAATGTTTCTTGAGCACTGAGTGAAAAAAAGCCAATTTACAGCATATGATGCATGAAAAGAGTATGAAAGCTAGCACTTGCTCTCGATGAAGTTTCTGAATGAAAGAAGCGAGACTTTCTGTCCTTTTAACAGACTTTTGTCAGCCTAGCTTCAAATAAACGGTCAGGTTGTAAAACAACTGAGAACGAAACTGAGAAGAAGAGTGAACTTTGGAATGAAATGGTATTTCAGATACTAGAGTGTCATGAGAGCTTTCAGCATCAGCAGCTGTCTGAGATCTTGAACATCTGGAGATACAATTCCAGCTCCATTGTACCTGAAACTAGATGAAGCCATTTAGTGAAATGAGTAATCTTTAAGTGATTTTTGGTCTGTTGCTGAATGCAAACTGGAAAGAGAGAGTAAACTAGTTGAACAACAAAGCTCCATTGTAAAGCCAAATGAAGAGTCAGATGTTCTGACATTAGCATCTGGCTTGTCTAGCTGTTCGGATGCTGCACACAGTGTCTCGTGTCTTTTAAGCACAACACAGAAACAATGCATAAACTGCTGAAAACTAGCCAATTCATTCCGGAGTGCTCAGTGTTGCCATGGCAACAGACCAGTTTCTCCATCATGGCCCCTACATGCATTCCTAAAGGTCTCATCTCCAGTCTATAAAGATGAAGATCTCTCATTCTCCTTTATAGTGCTTTACTCTTTCAAAATATACAGCATCATCCCTAGTGAAATCTCGCTCAACTCGCACTCAGATCAGAAAACATGCTCTAACCAACTTCACATAAGTGTTTATCCATTCTTTCTCTTCATACTAAACCTCATAAACAGTCTTTTATCAATGTCTCGTCTTCACCATCAAAGGGAAGTTTCTTTAGAAAGACGATGAGAAATATCATATACTTTGAGCTTAAGAAGCACTGGGGCTTGGTGTGTGAACATATGCTCTGATTCTCGCTTTAACATTTTCTGAGGATGAGGCTGTGAATTGTAGCTTACTCTGTTACATTACACATGACTCTTTTGCCTACAGTATGGCTATATATATTTTTTACCTATTCTTAGCTGCCCTATCTTGCACTGTTTTACTTTAATCATCACTTCATCATTCCATTGTACTGTACATTGCCATGTTAACACTGAGACTGAGAAAAATGGTTTCAATGTTTTAGATTCAATTTTGATTTGAACAATTTTATCCTGTATTCCTGTCATCCTGTATTCATGTTATTCAAAACCTGTATGACTTTCTTTGCTCTGTGAACATGAAAGATATTTTGAAGAATGTTTCATCTGCTTTGTCCATATAATAAAACTCTCTGTGGTCCAAAGATAACACAGGACCCCACTGACTTTCATTATATGGACAAAAAACATCGAGACATTTTTAAAATAACATCTGTCTTCTGCTGAACAAAGTAAGTTATATAGGTGCTCATAACAGCATGAGAGTGATTAAATGATGACCAAACTGTCATTTTTAGGTGAACTATCCCTTTATCACTTTCTCAAAATCTGAGCCAAGCTATTCTGTCAAAGGACAGATCATATGTTAAGAGACCCGATTTCAGTCATCACTTACTGTGCTTTCCCTATACAAAACTTGATTGTCAAATCATGTTTGCTCCTCTCTGCTTTATTCTACACTATTAGTTTTTTCCAGGCAACACAAAAGGTCAGAGTACGTTCATGTCGGTCCAGACGTTAAAATTATTACAGTGTTTATTGACCCATTAGGAGTCTGCAGCTCTATTCAATGAATAGGGCTCAAAGGGGAGGTCTGTGATAGCATGAGGGTAGAGTGCTCAATCTAATTGGTTTATGAATGAATGGACTTCAGGGTATGAGATGCATAGTGTGCTTCTGGAAGGACGACTGTTGGACAAGTGGTAAACACGAGAGAGAAATCTAAAAGACTCACCTCAGGGCCTTGCTCTCGAGCATGACATGATTCACTGTCCCCCTCCGAAAAGGATCCTGACTCATCACTGGAATTGGTTCCATACGACTGTTCGCACTTTATCTTGGGCCGGACCCGTGCAAATAGCTCATCCGTCCCACCGCCTGCCTCCTGCGGGTCAGTCGTGAGACACCGTGTCACATTGGGGCAAGGCGAGGACGAAAACTCGAACTGCGGCAGGCTGCAGGGGGACCCGCCGCTCCCGTCCTCAGCATAAGAATATGACGAACAGGAACTGGAGGTCCGAGTTCTGGTCTCTGAGGGGGGCGATCGTGGGCATACCTTGATTGGCACTGGGCAACTGGTATTGGGCCTTTGGCGGCAAAGCAGGGGTGGGTCGCTGGCTGTGGTGCTGGGGGAGTAGGTCTGGGAGCTGGGGAGGGACTGGCTGGCGCCGGCCCACAATCCTTTTGGCATGTGTTCTGAGAGCTCCTTCTCCAGTGAGTTCCCACTGGGATGGGAGTGGGTGGGCGTACCCAGTCGGTCACAGGGCCCTGAGGAGAAGATGACACTGCGGCGGTCCGGCTCTACCTCTTGCTTGCACACACCATCGCAGGGATTTGACTTCAACGAAAGCCCTGGCGGGAAACCATCTGCGTCTTTGGGGAACGCCACAGGCATGCCAAGCTCATTGCCAAGCGAAGGCCTGTAGTCTTTTTTGTGGTCTCCCTGAGTGGTTCCTTTATCCTGGGCATTGACGAGTCTGTTAGCGAAGAGCTGCTGGGGTGTGCTAGGCAGGTCCTTCTTAAAGAGAGTTCGTAGGCAGGTGGGTGACTTGCTGCTGCCTTTCGGTCGGTCCACTGCAATGGAACCATCCAGTTCCATCTCGGTCACACTGTCCTTTTCACCACCATCCTGCTCATCCCCTGACAGGCAAATCGAGATGGACTCTTCCTCGCCGCGTGGCTCCTTCTTTATTTGCATCACAGCTGGCCTGTTCATCTCCTTGAATGTGCTTGGAAAACCTGAGGTACTGGTGTGTGAGGAGGTGTCGTTATTGTGCTTGTTGCATGCCCACTGGTACTTCCTGTACTTAGGGCATCGTGGCAGGTCTGAGGTGCCGTGTCGCTCGAAGTCCATCCGTCCATCAGCGAACTCCTCTGTTGCTGCCAGTGGCTCATGGTCTGGCCGTCGCAAGGAGTTCAGGGCGAGTTCACGGCGAGAGCGTGGAGAGCCAGACAGGGTCACTGCAGTTGGCATTGTCGTCAGCAACTCAGGTTGCATGCTCTCATCCTCCGAGTGATTGCTCTCAGACACCATCTTGCGACAGAGGACCAGGCCGTCCTCCTCACTGCGCAGTTGGGCCTCCAGGAAGCGAAAGCAGGAGTCCTCCAGGTTGTGCATGCGCAGGAATTCAGCACAGCGGATGACCTCCTGGATGTTTTCTCTGCTGAGCAGCAGCTTAGCCGTATAGGCAAACTGTAACAATGGAGCGAATCCCCGGGCACTGACCTGCGGACACACACAGAAAGAACAGGGGAAATTGCCAATGTTACCATCAGCACTGCCATTGTTCAGGGCACTCGGAGTGTGCTGAGAGAACTCGACAGCTCAAATGACCGTAAACAAACACTGTAAAGTGCCAGTTAATCTTTTATCAGGTCAGCACCGAACGTTCTATACAGCGGGAAATAAAAAATGAAAAGGTGGAGGCTGTCGTTAAGGTAAAGAGACCAACCTCATTTATGTAACAAAGATATCTGACATTCACTTCTCTAGGTTAAGCTTGGCTAACGCCCCCAGTTTGTTGTGAATGGTATTGCAGCAACAGGTAAAAGCTTGTGGGTTTGTAAACATAATGTCACATCTATCCCTTGGGTGAGCCACCTTAAAGCCTAATGGGCTCTAGGACTCTTACGGCTTATCCCTACTACAGCCATCCTGAGCCTGCTGAGAGAGAGAGAGTGAGAAACAGATGCAGACAGAAATGGAAGCCTTCCATTTGACCTAATGCTAGATAATTAGGTAAATGCCTGAGCCTGCAAAAGCTTGGCAGGCCCACTGTGGCCTTTGCGCTGTTAGCGCATGTGAGTACGTGCATTTAGGTTGGGAGAAAATAATAACCCAGGCTCACAGCTTTTCATGTTTTGAGATTCCCCCCCACCTAAATAGATCTATAAACCCCGGCTCTATATAACTCTCTGTATAGGCTCACTTGTAAACTAGAGAAATTGTAATTGAAAGCTGATTGATAATTCATATTAAGCAAATTATTACATTACCGTTACATCACTAAAAGTAGCTTTTCAAGTCAAAACAAACTACTAAAATGTCTCAAAACCCTTGGATTTTGTTCTTTCTCTGCCAGTGAGTCAGACTCTGCCTGTGCTATGCTACAGTCAAAACGTCATGGACAGATGTCGATGTAGGTGCTCTTCGTTCTCAGACACATTACAATGGCTGGACTTTGATCTGGGCCAGCATTGTTCAGTCCACAAAGTGCTCTCTCTTCTCCCTCAATGATGTAAAGTGAACTTGTCCTCATAGATGGTAGGGAATGAGATCAACAATTTATGTTCAATGAATGGGAGACAAGACACTGCTTACTATGAGTTTGTTTGTTTTGTTGATAGGGACAAACAGCAACAGTAAGTCTTCCTAGATGTTATCATCACACTTTTCTTGTGGTTAGAAGGGAGTTCAGAGAACCTCTTTCCTACTATAACACCAGAACCAAAGAATTTGTTTTGTAGATTTTTCCATTTGGAAAATAACATGGGGATTGTATTTACAGTCAGGGCAAAGGCATGGAGGGAAAACACAAGCTTGTGGTTAAATGAGCCTTTTCTGTTACAATGAGTCAAAGCACAGCTGATTACTGTAGTGTGGGGAACGTAAAACAAATTAGACAGAAACACACTCTTACACTGAGTGAAAGACTATGGATTAAGCTAACTGTTGTCTCTTTGATTACAGTAAAATCACAAAAGCACACATTCCAAGAATTCTTTAGTATAATTTCCAACCTTTTTTTCCTGTACAAACTTTTGAGGACATTGTTAAGTCATTTGAATGTTACCTGTATTAATTATCAACTATATTTGAATATATTCAAAAGGAAATACCAGTGTCTGAAAAGCAGAACATGCATAGACTTTGGAATTTGGTTATATTTTTAAACTTCATTTCAAATGATAATTAGACACTACATAAGAAACAGTTTCCCTCCTTTAAAATAGAACATATAATGTACAGTCAGATGGATATTATCTCAAAATAAATCCAGACAGGGTGATCAGAATCTTTCTGAAGAGATTTATTTTGTGATAATGATCAGCTGACTGTTCATTATCCCCCTAATTGTATGGCTAATTAAAAAAAAAAAAAGGGACATGAAATACTTTCAGTTACATTATTTATATGTGAGATGAAAGACACTGCAGAATGATGCAAAAACATGAAACCAGCTCAGTGTAGGAGGACTTGTTGCCAGGGACAACAGTAAACTGTTTATTGTTCATTATAAAAGAATATTTGACTGTGAAATGCTGTGATTGACCAATCAGAATCAAGTATTCCAGATATATGAGTAATGATGTATGATGATGTGCAAATCTATAGACTTCCATTCTTGCAAAGTGCAGAATGAAGAATAAATCAAATCTTCCTAAGAAAGATTTGAATGAATAATAGATGACATTTATTTTCCATCTCCTTCAGAGATGTCATGCTCATCCAGTCATACACATACAAAAGGTTCTATAGCATCCACAAATATGCACACAAACAAAACTGATGACTACCGACTCTGAGTCATCCGGGGCTGTCTGTGTCCAGTAGACGCATTATAGTACAGAGAGAGAGAGAGAGAGAGAGAGAGAGAAGCTCATCTGCCCGCTGGCAACACAACAGCACTGATCAGTCACTGTTGAGAGGAAGCTGCTGACTCGTAATCTTTGTGGGGGATGGTGTGTGCTAGTGTGTGTATTATATGTGTGTGTGTGTACTGTACAGTGTACGGGTGTGGGGGAGGATTGTATGTAGAGTGTACATGTGTGTCTGAAGGGGATGATCATGGCTCTTAGTTAGGAAGTGTGTCCACTTAGGAGAGAAAGGAACAGATACGGAATGAGGGAGAGATTTCATTCAAACCAATGATGGATTTTTTTTTAAAGCAAGATCAGTCAGCGTAACCTTATCATACAAGCATTAATAAAGACCCTTGAATTAGCGAATATTCATAATCATTTGTGGGAGTTTTAAAATGAAGCATTATTGTGAATAGTACAATTATTTTAATGCATTTATTTCAATTAAGTTTCTTAAGATGTTTTAATTACATCTCTGATTTATGTTTCAGTAGCACAAATGGCATTAGTATTCAATTCATATCCAATAATGAATTTAAAATGTTGAATCAAATGAATTCTTTAAATCGATCATTGAAATGAATGTTTAAATTAATCAAAATTCTTTGCATGATACTTTTCATATATTCAAATATTCCGGTAAAAATGTAGATATGTGGCAGAATATTGCTGTTGTTATATTGATGCATTTAAATAAAAAATGTTATTTCAATTTTAACATTTTAAATGTACTTGGCTCTGATTTAAAAAAAACCACCAAATACAGACATTGCTTGTAACATAAATACCAGAATTGATACCCTAGTTAAGAAAACTATGATTATTCATTTTACAATAGAAGAGAAGGAGATTGGAAATCCCTTTCAATAGATATCTAGAAAATAAATTGAACATCATCAAAAACCTGAAAATCTTTTACATTTGCAAAACGTTTTGTGACAGAAGGTGGAGAGAGACAGTAATGTCGGGAGGTGTAAAGGTATGGAGAGGCTATGCCTGAAAAACAGCTCTCTCTGCTGGGGAAAAAAGTGCTGAAATGTGTTTTTCAGCTGACATCAGCAGACAGCATCGGCTGCGCCATCTGTGACTGCTACTACAAGTGTCTCTGTGACACGCACCCATCAGCCTGATGGAGACAAAAGAAAAAAAGGAAGGCAAGAGGGATGGAAAGTAGTGAGGGAATGAAGAGCATGGAGCGATGGAAATGTGAAAACAAAGGGAAAGAATTAAAAGATGGAGGGGTTAGAATTAAAATGGGGTGGGTCATACGATCCGAGACAAAGGCTTAAAGGGATAACACCCTAAAAATATTAATGAATTTATTATTTACTCACCCTCATGTCTGCATTAAAGTATAATAATCCAAATATTACTCTCTGTGTGATGAACAGATTGAAATCTAGAATGAATTTAGACATTTATTCACTGACTATCTTCTAGAAGAAGTCAGAAGATATTTTGAAAAATGTTGGTAACTCCACAGCTTCAGTACCTATTGACTTCCACCTGAGTGGACAGAAAATACAATAGAAGTCAATGGAACTGAAACATACAGGTTTGGAACGACATGAGTGCGAGTAAATGATGATAGAATTTTAATTTTAGAATTTAACTGCTGTGACTAGATCAGTGAGACATCAGAACTGGTTCAGTCCGATTCATGAAGCAATCAATTATGAACAAATAATTCAGAATAGGTTCAACCAATTAAATGAAAAGATCCAACTCAAAAGAATGATTCTAACATTTTTGGGTGAACGATCCCTTTAACCGTGTAGCGCTACAAAGACAAACAACAAAAGAGAAGACAAAAGGTGCTCACAGAAGAGGAAAAATAAAGCACTATTGCAGCTCATTAAGGGACAGACTTTGACATATGAGCCACCGGACCTGTTAACAACATTTATTATGTGGGAAACAGACAAAGGAGCAAATTTATCTCTATGACAGATCTGGGCCATTTATGCTAATTCCGACTACAGACTATTCTCCCTCACTGGGCCTCAAAAGAGTCATATTGTTACAAAGCAGGAAATTACATGAATTGTACATCATGCATCCTGACAGCTCCTGACTATTCGGGAATTGTGCCAAGTGATTCCTTCCATAAAAAGGTCACGGAATGCTATAAACCCCTCACACCTGCCCTCTCGTTCATTCATCCCCCCTCTCTTTGATCTTCTGCCTTTCCTCTCTCAGTAGCAGAGACGGCTAATTTATGTAAATTCGCTCCACCAAATTCCTGCATGTCATGAATGTTAATGAGGCAAAGATCCGCATGACAATGGGTGTCTGAAAAATACAAAACCTCTACTAAAGACGGGACGCCTGCGATATGAAATCTGCTGACTAACCTGACATTAAACTCCAAATGCAGACACAGACAAATGAGCCACGCTGCAGCACAAAGTCACAGCTCATGCTGAACGCGAATGTGCGGGGCCACGGTAAGGGCATTTATTGGCTGTGCTTCAAAACCTACTGAGACAGCATTTTTGAGCATCATAGGCAATACGTAGGTTCGTACACATAGTTGGAGAAGGCAGATCAGTGGGTTTTGAAACACAGACCTTCAAAATGACCACAAATACCATGTTTTAAGATGGCAGTTCATAATTTTTAGCTTTTTAGCACTGCATAAAT